ATGCTTCCTGCTCAGCCTCGCCACCTGGCAACCCGCCTGGGGGCTTGTTTTGGCATTGGCAACTGAATCCTGCCAACCTGCACCATCAAAAATCTGATTCATTTATGGGTCGCAACTATGGACAGTTTGTCCAAGAAGATTCCAACATTGGCACCGGTACAGAGTTATCTTTGGGGGCCAAGACTGGACATTCATCAGTGGACAGCGAGATAGAAACGAACTACACGAAACCCGGTCTTGTTATGAGTTCTAGGCCCGGCACCGGACCTGGATCATCTGCTGGTCCGAGTTCCGCAGGGCAGCCATACTATCTTAATCCCGGTCGCGGCCTGGCCGGCCAACTTGCAACAGTAGTGGCGGAAACTGGCTCGCTCGATCAGTCCATGCACTTGGAACTTCAAGAAGACATCTCGGCGCGCCATTATCGAACTAGGGCTCTGGCCAATGAGCTGGTAAATCGACTCGATATAGGACGCATCACTCGACGCTACCATGCCTCTCGACTCGTATGCAAGACTGGGCATCCAGTTGGCAACGCTCAAGTTGCCAGTATCAACATTTACGTTAAGTGTAAGTGTCATGGTTGTCTTGTTGGCCTGTTCTCATTTTTTTCTCTCCTCATTATAAACTTGCTACTTGATACCCAATGTGACGGTAAAAATTGTTTAAACACCTCCAAAATTCAGTTTTAAAAGCCTAGGTTGTCTAATACCAGCCATATTACAAACAATGTTTTAACAAGAGGAATAATTAAATATATGGTGGATTTTAATGACTAAACGATTGCAGGATTTTTTTATGTAAAATGTTTACCTTGCTCTTTTCTCTTCTTACAGCAGTATAAAACAATCTACGTTACTAGGTGAATTTGGCAGATGTGATCATCTTTTTTTATTTTGCTTTGATCAAGACATGTATCATTATTTAACTGTCGTAAATAGTAATCGGGGCTATATTTGATACTGTCATGCCTCTAAATGATTCAATGAGAGATACAGCTAATTCCTTCGGTATTTTACAACATGGTTAAGAGAGCATAGGGGAATTTTCCTTATTCAATGTATATAGTAGTTAGAAAAGGTATTTTAAATTCAAAAATAATAATTAAGTTAAGTTATTTACATGTTGGAGATTGTAAAGCAAGGAATAAATTTAGTATGAAAGTGTATGGTCAACTCATAGTAAAGGAGTAAAATTATAGATTATAAAATAAAGGATAAAAACTGCTCTGTGGCTAACAGGCGCAAATCGTCGTGATCAAGATTTTGTAATATGAGGAAACATTTTATTTCGGAAAACTATCAATTTGGCTTAATTGACAATTACTTTCACAATTGTAAGAAATGAGGTCTGAGAAGACCATTATTTAAGACATAACGGAGAATTATACACATCCCTCCGAGATTTCTGATGATACAATGCCGCCACATCTAGATAGTCAAAATAGTGTGGAAATATAACATCAGGAACATTTATAAAGAGGGAATTATATCAGCTTTGCTTAAAAAATCCTCCAGCCCTCTCTGCAGATTCGGTTTTTAGTGTTTTATGAACATGATAAGGACATCTCTCTATCCGTATATAAGACGTTATACGGACACAAAACCGGCTGCCGATTTTAATGGTTCCATAACTACAAGCTGACCTTGCATACACAACATTAGATATAAAGTCCTAATGGTCAAGAGGAAGGTTAGAGAGTGGATATGAATTAACAGAACAAACTATATTCTGAGTTGGAGGGCTTATTTTAAGAAATCGGGCAGAAATCAGCTATGGTCTCTTCACAGGGTTAGGAAGAACGAGTGGGTATCAGCAGGTAAAATGAGGAGAAATGACTAATGTTGAAAGTTACTCGCATTAAAATTACATGTTGTATAATTTGATTAATGAGTATTGCATGCATGCAGCGCGCACGGATCCACTAAGCTAAAGCACGTATTAACATTTAGATTTATCGCGCTAGCATTACAGTAAGCTTGATTTTATTAGTAAATTCGATGAGGCCAATTAACGAGTACTCTCCATCTATCTTATTAAATAGGCCTAAAAGTATTCAAATGTTTAAGCTTAATCCAGGTTATTTTTAATACTATAAGAAATCCTCCTTGCAGAATATGTTTTTTGCATTATTTCTAAACAAAATAGAAGCGGCTATAACCTATTAATTCCCTCTAGTATCTCCCCTATTCTTTTAATACACGTTCTATTAATATACTTTACTTTTGTCGGACTTCCCTAATGATGGAAGTAGAGCTTGTCCGGATGGTCTACCCCTTACTGTCACAGCCTTTTAATCAATTTATGTCTCTAATTTATTTGCTCTAACAAACGCATAAAACCGTGCAGATACAGGGTTGTTTAATTTTATGATTGAATATCTTGCTTCTATTGCGGTTTATCCATAGTTTATAACTACATTTTATTCCTGCAAAGTTATTCATGCCAACCTTGTTTGAAATTACGTTAACCATATATGAGCTTTGAAAGTTTTTTTTGCAGCCACTTTATAAAAGTCAAGTACAAAATTGTCGTCACAGCTCTAACAAGCCTGCAAATCTGGCAGTAATTTAGGGTAAGGAAGATATAAATTA